CACTCACGAGGCTGAGGCAGGAGGATCACTGTTGAGTTGGAGGCCAGCCTGGGCTACATAGTGAGTTCAAGGCTAGCCTGAACTGCATAGTGAAATCATCTCAAGAGAAAAAATAAAGTTTTGGGGAAAGGAGTTAGGCTTAAATTTTACCCTAAAATCACCCTGCATTTTCAGTATCCTGGGCAGGTAGAAATTCTGTTTATTTGCTTTTGAGATGGATTTTCACTGTGTTGCCCCAGCTGACCTTTAACTAGATTTTTTTTTTTTTTTTTTTTAAAGACACAGTTTTGCTGCGTAGTCCAGGCTGGCCTCAAACATACTGGCAGTCCTCCTGCCTCAGCCTCCCAAGTGCAAGGATTTATACGCCTGAGCCACTACTCCTGGCTGCTTGAGCTTGAAATAGCTGGGGTTACAGATAGGAGCCACCACTCCCAGCTTTGAAAGCCTACCCCCATAGATACACTCAGTCCTAGGGGCTGAACCCAGGGCCTTGTGCATGGTAAGCAAACGTTCTACTATTGAGCCATACTCTAAGCCCCTTACTTGTTTGCTTTTCATCTTAGACACAAGCCAGTTTATTACCAGTCATAACCTGGATATTCTCATGGGTGCTGTTTTTAAAAACTTGAGCCAGCATCTTTTCTTTTTTTTTGGTACCGGAAATCAAACTCAGGACCTTGTGCTTGCCAGGCAAGCGCTTGTGCCACTGAGCTGTATCCCTAGCCCTGAGCCAGCATCTTGCTAAGTTGTCTAGGCTGGGCTCAAATTTGTGATCCTCCTGTCTCAGCCTCCCAAATTACTGGGATTACAGACATGTGGCACCATGGCTGGCTCACAAGAGTGCTCATGAAGTGTTTCGTTGTTTTGTTTTTTCCTACGTAAAAGTGTGTGCAGGTCCCAAATGAAAGGTTTGGATGGTCACAAATAATATTAGGTTCTTGAATGCAGTTTGGTCTTGCCCATTTGAGTATGAAGCATGTTTGGCCCCATTGTGTACGTGTCTTTTGTCCAGAAAGAAGACTCAGAGAGACCGCTCTTCCCGCTCAAGGAAGTTCACAGCAGGGATCACATGGTTTTGCACCAGAGTTTTGGGGTTTGTCATATGTGTAAGCTACTTTGTAGCGGCCGTGATTATCTTGGTAAGGCAGTGGTTATAAGGGAAAGTCAAGTATATGGGCTTCCTTCTGTTCGCTTAATATTTACGGTGTAACAGCCATCTCTTTTTGATAAACCCATTTTATTTCAGATATTTGCGTGCTGTGTTACTGGCCAGTAGTCAAGGGAAGCACTGTCCCGCTGTTTTCTGCATTTGAACTACAATAGGGTTGGAAGGGCTGTGGAGATGAGAAGGGCAGAAGGCAGGAAGAAAATGCAGTGGTGAGAGAAACATTCCTTCTCCACTGCCAGCTACTGTCCTGTTCCACTTTCTGAGTCATTCTTTGCTTCAAGTTATTTTGAGCCTTAGGAATCTTGTCAGGAGAAATGTTTGAAATTAAATTAGTTTGTTAACTGTCCCTTGTTTAGTATGCAAGTAAGGTAGAATTCTGGTTTTGTTTTAATGTACTGTACAGTACCCCATAACACTCAATGGCAGAGTTGGGGGTTGGTATTTTTTTGTTTGTTTTTGAGGTAGAGCCTTGTTATATAGTATAGGCTGGCCTTGAACTCACTATGATTCACCTGCTTCAGCCTCCTATGTGCTGGGATTATAACTCGTGTGCCACCACGTCCAGCTGCAATGGTGAAGTCTTAACAGGAGACCGTCCTTCTGTTCTGTATCTTGTGAATTATGAACACATCTTATAATCAAGAATAAGTATTCCCTCTGTAGCAAATTGTCCTTAGGATTAAGGACCCATCTTTTAATTCTTCCTTTCCCCTTTATGAAACTCTTTCTTTCATATGATGAGTTATTTTGGTAGGTATGATATCACACGGGAAATAAAATTGCCCATACTCAGTGTTCCCTTGTGGCACACGCCTGTAATCCCAGCACTCAGAGACTGAAGCAGGAAGATTGCCTCGCATTTAAGGCCCGCCTGAACCACATGGAGAGACTTTGTCTCAAAAAAGCAACCCCCCCAAAACAGAAATAGGAAAAATGACCAGAAGATCAAGTTTTCAGGGTTAATATTCATGAAACAGCATATTTTACCATAGTCGCAATAGGTGGAAAAGCTCAAATTTGGACTTAAGGCTTTTGGCCTAAGTAATAGGCTGTGTAACAAAACCAGTCAGCTTTGTTCTTACTGCCTGCCCGTAGGCTGCTTGAGGGAGAGTCAAAGCTTATGCCATGTGGTCACTTTCCGAGTTTGAATTATTTGTGGAGCTTGAGCTTGTTAGGTGCACAGTGTGTTCTTTCTCTTAGCAAATAACTATATGAAGACCGTAGTGCTGAGTCGACATGCTAAGAGTGGTCTTCGTCTTAACCTCTTCTGTGTTATTTGTAGAAAGTCTTTTCCAGGGCTGGGCCCCCTGATTGCCCTGCATTGTACATTGAAAGCAAATGGTTGCTCACTTGTGGAAGACAGACAAGCGCCACTGAATGTGCAGCCAGGCCTGCTGTCCAGGGAAAAGCAGCAACAGCCGCCTTGGTGAACGAGCTTGTTCCCTTTTAAACTTGGGGGATTTTAGGCAAGGACATTGCCATTTTCCCGGCATACCTCTCTGCCCTGAGCCACTTGTTCCCGAGATCCTTTTGTGAGCATTTTGTGCAAATTGTTTTTTCAGTAACAGAGATTGTACCCCAGGCCTTCACCTGAACTACATACCTAGCCTTTTCATTTTTTCAAATAAGGTCTTGCTCAGTTGTCCAAGCTATGTTTGAGTTTGTGATCCTCCTCCCTCAACCTCCCAGAGTCTGGGGTGATGGGCATGCACCACCATGCCTGGCTGAGATTCCCTTTGAACATCCTTAGTACTTACTAACCTTGAATCCTAGAAGGTGTCACTCCTTTCTCTAAATTGTGGCCCTCAGAACAAGAAGGAACAGAAGGGGCTTAGTTTTGTTGACCTCAAGACCAGCCCCTCCCCCAAATTGCCAGCTTTCTCGGGTTAGAAAATGAAGTAGCTGTGGAGATTTCTAGGCATAGGACAAATACGGTCTGACCTTTGGGCTCCAGAGCCAGCTAGAGGTAAGAGCAGAGAAAAGCTTTGGCTTCCTGTCTGCCAGCGGGTCCCAAGCTTTCTCCGAGTTAGGAGTCAGTACCAGTTGCTTCTTGGGGCAATTTCTTCTGCCCCTCAGCCAGTGTGTGTGTCTGCAGGATGTTGTGCAGAGAGCTGAGGGGAGCTGGCCTTGGTTAAGAGGGCACTTAGGGCCTCTACTCAGCAACTGCATAGTGACAGAAGTCATGAAAATCAAGGGTTTCCTAGATCCTTCTGTAAAGTTGGGCTTTTTAAGGGATAGCTGCAGGTCATCTCAACTCAACCCACCTTTGGAGGAAACAAGATGAGGGCATAAGAGAAGGGGTTGGGGTCATGCGTTTTAACAAGTTACGGTGCAGAAACCATTTCGTATGGGTGAGTTCTACCTCTAAGCTGCATAGAAAGGCCAGTTCTGAAGTTTCAGGCTTGTATTTGGGAGTAGGGGACAGAAATGCCCTGGCATAGTGTGTCTGTAACACAGCTCTGACTTGGAAATAGTTGGATAGGTTTACCTCTGCCAACAGGTGGAGATGACTAACATATGTTTGCCCATGTGGGGAGTGACATGTTGGCCTTCGTGTTTGAGGGGATGCTAGTATCTCAGTGACCAGCAGAGGGCAGTGGTGACCTACAAGTTATCAGCTGAGGTGTGTGGTCAGTGAATCTACTTGGTTGTTTTTTGGTTTTTTAAAGTTTTTTTCCGGTACCGGGAATTGAACTCACGACCTTGCGCTTGCCAGGCAGGCGCTTTGCCACTGAGCTAAATCGCCTGCCCCAGTGAATCTACTTGGACAGAACCTATGAGTGGCTTTTTTGTTGGGGTGGGAAGTTTTCTTTGGGGTTTGGTTTTTGTTCATTGTGTTAGGATACAGATGAGCCAATATCTAGATCAGTCCGGATGTTACCCTTACCATGAGGGGACAGATTAGTGACTTCATCAAGCCTAAAATCTACCAGAAGTATCAAGGTGTCAGCTTTTCTTTCCCCAGCACTATTGTGACCATATTCCTGTGTGAGCAAGTTAAAAAGGACCCGGCCAGAAGCAAAGATCTGTCCATTCAGATGAGGGACTTTGTATTTCTAGTGATAACTGTTGCTTTTTCCCCAAAAATAGGCAGTCCTGTGCCTCTATCCAGCAAGCCTAGTTTTGAATTTTTTTTTTTTTCTTTTTTTTTTGTCTTTTTGAGACAGGGTCTCACTATGCAGTTCAGGCTAGCCTTGAGCTCACTTTGTAGCCCAGGCTGGTCTCAAACTTGCAAAATCCTCCTGCCTCAGCCTCCCGTGTGCTAGGATTACAGGTATGCGCCATGTGCCCAGCTTTGACTTTTTTTTTGTCCTTCTGAGACAGGGTTTCCCTACGCAGTTTAGGCTGGCCTTGAACTCACTTTATAGCCCAGGCTGGTCTCAAACTTGCAAAGATCCTCCTGCCTC